TGCCTGTTCCTTCCTCCTGCCTTCTTTGTCTTAATGGGGATGAATCTCGGGATCATCTTTTTTTCAGATGTAATTACTCCAAGGTACTCTGGCTGGATTTCTTTGCCTATCTCTCGCCTCCTGTTTTCACAGACTTCACTAGCTTGCTAAACTGGATTAAGAGACCTACCACAAATAGGAAACTAAATGTTGTTTGTAAGCTGGTCTTCCATGCCCTGTTATATAACATCTGGATTGAACGCAACACTCGACCACACTCTACTTCTTTTCGGTCTGTCGCGCAGCTAAGGAAACACATCCAGGTTTTGCTTAGGTGTAAGCTCGCTGTCCTGGACAGATCGGTCTCTCGCTCTACTACAATTACGTCTCATGATACCTACTTATCTCATTGGTTTGCCAGATTCCAATAGTTACTTTGTTGTACTTGATGAATAGCTCCTACTTTGCTGTTGAAAAAATCCCTGTGACTTTTAAACTGTTGTAACGGTATTTGATTATAATATAATGGTATCTTAAAAAAAAAAAAAAAAAAAAAAAAAAAAAAAAATAGGGTTGTTAGTCCACTGTCCACTAAAAGTATAGGATCCTTTAATGTTCTGTGTATACACGACCTGTCTCAGTAGGATTTAAGACCCGTTTATTTTTGTAAAGCCTCATTTTCAGTTTAATGAATTATATATTTAACTTTTAACCCAAACAAACAAAGAAACAAAGAGTACAAATTTGAAATCTAATCCTAATCATTGTGTAGGCATTAAATGTAGTTGGTTTCATTTACCACATTTGATCACAATTTGGTGGTTTTGCGCCTGCCCTATATTAGTACTAAGCAGTACTGATGTGACATATTACTACACTTGATCATATGGCAGAAAGTTGTTGGCTCGGTTTTAAAGCAACATGCAAAAACCACGTTATTCTGCCTCGGTTTTAAAGCAACATGCAAAAACCACGTTATGTCAAATTCAATTTTATATATATCTTGTTCATTTGATAAAACATTCTATATCTTGTGTTGCCCTATTTTTAGTATGAAACAATTATGCTCGTATATTATCTAGCATTATTTTACCAAAAAAAAAAAATATTATCTAGCATTTTCCATAAATGAATATACATTACAATGCAACATCACTCATTAATCTCTTACTAAAATTATTGAAAATACACATATATACAAGCCATTTATAACTATTTATCTAAAATTATGTCATTATCATAACTTCTGAAATGACATATATTGTACATATGATAATCTCATTAGACAAAATTGGTAAAAGAATTACAATTTTGTAGTGATGTGTTGCGTTTTTAACGGTTTCGAGTCTTGGTTTAGTCCGTGTTTTGAGTCATCTATCGTGTCAAAGTCCGTCTTTTGCGTCTTTTCGGTTGTGTCTTGAGTCCTTTGCAGGTTATAGGTGCTCGAGCTGGATTCGGAGCATCTTGTGCATGATTGAGCCTATTCGGAGCTAAAACAATGGAGAAACGGTACAAGAGATCACCAGGAGCTGGGGATCGATCGATCCAAGGCGTGGATCGATCGATCCCAATTGTGACGATGAAGCCAAAAGTTCCAGTAGCTCGAGATCGATCGATCCCAGGAGGGGATCGATCGATCCAGCATCATCCGTCCAAGAACAATTGATTCAGCATATCTGGATCGATCGATCCACCCATGGGATCGATCGATCCGAGCCTCGACGTCCCGAGACGGTTTTCCTAAACCGGGTTTTGTCTTCTTTTTTTTGTACTTGGGTATAAAAACCCCAGATACCTAATTTTCTTTTTACGCTTTCTTTTCTGTAATTTTGGAGACTTCTCTTTGTAAGCTTTTTGGGGATTCTAGAGATTCATCCTTTTTGACACTTTGGAGAATATTTCTAAACCCTTCTTCTTTATTTATCAATTCAATCATGTTTTCTTTTACATCTATTTGTCTTGTTTCAATCGCTATGTGTGAGTAGTCTTTTAATTAGGTGTTAGGGTTCTAATTAGGAGATTCGATAGATTAATGGATTAATTGTTGTTTGGAATTCTCATTCTCTAGGTTCTTTGATTCACATGTTTTTAATGCTAGAATAGGATTGATCACCCTGTTGTAGAACCTAGGTTTTTCTATGCATCAAAAGTGTTCGATAGAATGTCTGAAAGAATGTGAATTGAGCAATGTATTTCTAGCCAACGAAAGTTGAAGTTAGGACGCATTGTGAACTAAATGAACTTGTTTGATAATGCGAATTTGACTAGGAAATTACATGCGAAAGTTTAGTAATCGAGTAGTCAAATTTAGTGATTAATGTCTTGAAAGAGAATTAGTCTAAGTTGTGTTCATGTTCAAGAACGGTTCGTAATTGTTGAATTCCTTGTCTCATGTTTCCATTGTTTATTGATCTCTGAAATACCCTAATGCCTAATGTCTTTAAATCTTGAAACTTAAATCGTTTAATTTAATTGCATTTTTATTTTACAATTCGGAAAACTCAAACAAAACAACTCTTCGCTTTAGCTAAGAACGAGTCTCGGAAATCCTTAGAGTATCTTTGGTCCTTGTGGATCGACCCCGTATATACTACCTTGCGGTTAAGTGTATCGGGTAATTAATTCTTGAATAATATGATGCAAGTGAAATCTTGAGATGAACATGCTTGATATATATGAGTGAGGTATAAAAACAAAATATATTATTAGGAAACAACTATTGTATAATGGAACAAATATTTTCATGGAAAACAACTGTACACAACAGTTTACTAAAAGATTTTCTTATTTATTCTTAACACTGAAGTCATTTGTTGGAGCTCGTCGATCCAAACAAATGAATCATTTCTTCTGGTATCTCTGCGCCCCCCGCCCCGAAACTGACCATCTGATCAAGAAACTAACACGTCAATTTGCAAATTGAGACGTACGTGGGTGTCTTTGACGAAAAAAAGAGAGGTACGTGGCTAATAAGTAAGATGTGTGGTCGAGAGAGAGTGAGTGAGTAGGTTTAAATAAATCCGTTGACGCTTTATATAAATCAAGAACTCTTTGTATGTGAGAATATCCAAAACATACGAATATTTATTTTCATTTATTTCACCAAAAAATGGGATCCATCTCAGAAATGGTGTTCGAAACTTGTCCATCTCCAAACCCAGTTCATGTAATGCTAGTGTCGTTTCAAGGACAAGGCCACGTGAACCCTCTTCTTCGTCTTGGCAAGCTCATTGCTTCTAAGGGTTTACTCGTTACCTTCGTTACAACGGAGCTTTGGGGCAAGAAAATGAGACAAGCCAACAAGATCGTTGATGGTGAGCTTAAACCGGTTGGTTCCGGTTCAATCCGGTTTGAGTTCTTTGATGAAGAATGGGCAGAGGACGATGACCGGAGAGCTGATTTCTCTTTGTATATTTCACACCTAGAGAGCATTGGGATACGAGAAGTGTCGAAACTTGTGAGAAGATACGAGGAAGAGAACGAGCCTGTCTCGTGTCTGATCAATAACCCGTTTATTCCATGGGTCTGCCACGTGGCGGAAGAGTTCAACATTCCTTGTGCGGTTCTTTGGGTTCAGTCTTGTGCTTGTTTCTCTGCTTATTACCATTACCAAGATGGCTCTGTTTCTTTCCCGACAGAAACAGAGCCTGACCTCGATGTTAAGCGTCCTTGTGTTCCTGTCTTGAAGCACGACGAGATTCCTAGCTTTCTCCATCCTTCTACTCCGTTCGCCGGTTTACGAGAAGCCATTCTTGGACAATTCAAGAATCTGAGCAAGTCCTTCTGTGTTCTGATCGATTCTTTCGACGCATTGGAGCAAGAAGTGATTGATTACATGTCAAGTCTTTGTCCGGTTAAAACCGTTGGACCGCTTTTCAAAGTCGCTAAAACCGTTACTTCCGACGTAAGTGGTGACATTTGCAAACCGACGGATAAATGCCTCGAGTGGTTAGACTCGAGGCCTAAATCATCCGTTGTCTACATTTCGTTCGGGACAGTTGCGTATTTGAAGCAAGAACAGATCGAGGAGATCTCTTACGGAGTTTTGAAATCGGGTTTATCGTTCTTATGGGTGATTAGACCTCCACCGCATGAACTAAAGGTCGAGACACATGTCTTGCCTCAAGAACTTAAAGAGAGTAGTGGTAAGGGTAATGGGATGATTGTGGATTGGTGTCCACAAGAGAAAGTCTTGGGTCATCCTTCAGTGGCATGTTTCGTGACACATTGTGGATGGAACTCGACGATGGAGTCTTTGTCTTCGGGTGTTCCGGTGGTTTGTTGTCCACAATGGGGAGATCAAGTGACTGACGCGGTGTATATGATCGATGTTTTTAAGACCGGAGTTAGACTAGGCCGTGGAGCGGCAGAGGAGAGGGTTGTGCCAAGGGAGGAAGTGGCGGAGAAGCTTTTGGAAGCGACAATTGGGGAGAAGGCAGAGGAGTTGAGGAAGAATGCTTTGAAATGGAAGGCGGAGGCGGAAGCGGCGGTGGCTCCAGGAGGTTCGTCGGATAAGAATTTTAGGGAGTTTGTGGAGAAGTTAGGGATGGGAGTATCGAAGGTTAAGGAGAACGGACAATAGGCTAAAGTGTTGACTGTCTTAATTCTATTTGATTATGCATTATTATTGTTTCATCTCTCTCTATTGGTGTATTATAAAGTTTATTTGTTTTGTATTTGTTAACCATGGTAAAATTGATTAATTCAATGTTTTGGCATAGGCCTGGGCAAAAAATCCGGACCCGATACCCGAACCGATACCCGGACCGAAAAAATCGGGTTGGGGCGGGTTAGGGTATTAGAAAATTACCTCATTGGGTAGAGTATTGGATTACCCGTAGATATCGGGTCGGGTCGGGTATTACCCGTTACCCTTTTAGGGTACCCACAAACCCGAAGCAATACACATATGTTTATATATGTATATAGATAATTAGATATATAGTTTTATATAGTTATATACTTATATGTATGTCCTAGGTTTTAGGTTTTGTGACTTTTGTCGTTTGAGTTTCCTTCAGGCCTATCCTCATATATCGGCAATCGGCTTCTCGAATCACAATATTAAAACTGGAAACCCTCGTTGTGTACTCGGCGACTTTACCGTCACTGACAGCTCTATCGCGAAATCAATCGGAGGTTAGTTCTTCTCCTTTCCGTTTGAATCATTCATTTTTTATCTTATTTGATTTGTCTGTTTGCTAACACAATTAGGTGAAAGTTATGATTTTTATTGCTTCCTAGATGTCGAAACAAAGATAAAGATTTAAAATTCAAAGTTTTTGTCTTTACATATTGGCTTTAATCGAGTCTCTGAAACGATTACAAAGTCATTCTCTTTAATAGAGTTTGAACCTGAATTCCACATCCAAGGTTTTGAATGATTAAGGTAAGTAATTACATTGATTTTCACGGTTTTGACTTTTGAGTGATTAAGGTAAGTAACATTTGATTGTTTTTTCTTGCCAGGAGAGAAAGATTCAAAACAAAGTCATCACTCATCAGTTATGCATCACCGGATCTTGTTCTATGTTTTTCTTTTTCGAATAATCGGATTTATGTGATTTTGGATTGGAATCTACTCTTAACACTTAAGAGTTAAGTAGTCATCTTTGTTATTTTGGATTGGATTTAGTATTTAAATGTCATGTTTGATGTTCTATTCTCTTTATTTGATCATTTGAGTATGTAAAGTGATTTTAAACTTCGGGTATTACCCAAACCGACCCGAACCCGACAATACCCGAACCGGACCGGAACCGAAACCATAGGAATACCCGAATGGACCATAAATTCATTACCCATTCAACCCGAACCCGAACGGGTTTTACCCGAACCCGAACGGGTTTTACCCGAACCCGAACGGGTTACCCATATGCCCAGGCCTAGTTTTGGCACATGTTTGTTTTTAACTTGTAAAACTTTCATATTAATAAAAAAAAAAAAACACAATTTCCGTTGGGGTTAGGCCTGAGATTTATATCCGTTATCCGTATCCGGTTTTCTATCCGAAAAACGGATACCGATACGGAGAGTAAAATGACGGATATCCTGGAAATTCAATCTAATTTGGAGATTCTGTTCGCTTTTGATTAAAACTGTAAACTTTTATGGTTGTTTGACAAAAAAAAACACCTTTCTGGTTAAAATGTTTAGAAAGCTTTTAGTTTACCAAATTGGTTTTCAACATTTAAATTAAATAGTGTTTGGAGAAGAAGTTTTTTTGGAGCCCAATAGTTTTTAGTCGGACGAAGATGAAAAGGGTGTGTGAACAGAGAAGTCTGACGAGGTCACGAGAGGCGAGAGAAGTTCATTTTTTGATATGAGTCGATTTCTCGTGTACTTAAATGCGTTTGGAACCTTGTATGCTTTGTCCATATCATACACGTAATCTTTTTGTTCCTTGTAATTTTTCTGTGTGCGCTTTTTTTTTTTTTTTTTTTTAAATTAGTGACATTGATAAAGCAAAAACCAGTAAATGTTGCAACGAATTTCAGGTGCATTGGTTTATGGTAAGAATTTCATAACCATAAAAGTTACTAATAGTAACCATAAGAGATGACGTTTCAATGATTTTAGTGTTTCTATCATAAAATACTTTCCCGACAAACTTTTCATCCTGTACAAACCAGTTCACATAAACATATAAATATATGAAGTTTACAAACAAACAATGTCTCAGCATAAGTTTGGACTAAAGTTATTTCTTTATTCAGAAAACATAAACACAAATCTTCTAAACCAACCTTGAAATTACGATCTACAGATCCATGCATAAATAAGAGATAACAGATCCAGCTCTCCTTGTCGTCCTCTCGGTCACTTTCCATTTCTCTATCAACACTTTCTTGATGTGTGGACAGCTCGAGACGACTGTAGCCACTCCAGCGGAAGTGATCCCTGGGCAGTAAACCATGTGACAAGTCTCCAGAAGTTTGCATTTCTGTACAAGATGGTTCAGACCAGTGTCTGTTATATGGTGACAATGGGACAAAACCAAGTCTTTCAGCATTGGACATCCTTCTCCAAGCTCAGCCAACGGCATGTCTCCAATGTTCTGAAATTTGTCATCAAACGTCCAAGCTTTGAGATCTCAAACAAACACACACGCTTTTGTCTGAAGAAACCAAGGTTGGTTCCCCTGTTCTAAAAATCCCCGCCTAGACCCGATTACTCCCCGCTTAATCGCTAGGCCTACCCTGTCCGCCTCGATTAATGACTAATCCCCTAAAAAATCAGTAACCCGATTATTCTCCGCCTAATCCGATTATTCCCCGCCTAATCCGATTATTCCCCGCCTAATCTTACATACCCCGATTATTTTTAGATTGCCAGTATAAAAAAACTTTTTATTTTTGTTATTCAATCATTTGAATTGGGAGTTTGTAATGTTTTACAATAATTTATGTTCATATTTTAATAAAAATCATAAATATTTGTCTCAAAAATACATTTTTATTTGTTTACTGCAATTTTAAAAATAATATTGGATTAATATGTTTTAAAAATATTAAAATAACCCTAAAACTAATCCCCGATTAATCCCCGATTTTAATCCGATTTTCCGATTAATCGCTAGGCCCATGCCGAGCGCCCGACTAGCGCCTAGCGATTTTTCAAACAAGGGTTGGTTCTATTTACCTGAAGAACACTAATGTCGAGGTGAGTGAGTTGAGGACAGCCTCTGGCGATTGCTGATATTCCAGCATCACTGATTTGATTACAACCACTTACGTTTAGTTGTTGTAAGGAGCAACCTTTTCCAATGGCGATCAATGCTTTATTTCCAACTCTGAATGAGATAAAACGATTAGATTTTGTTCCGGTACTGTTTAAGAAACAAGATTCAACGAGTTGCAGGGTTTACTTATCGCAAAACCGGAGACTAAGCTCGGTTAGTGATTTGCAATGCTTTCCAATAGCTATAATTCCTTTGTTTCCAATCTATATATAAGAAAAACGCAAATACCAGTTTCTATGTCAATAGATTAAGAAAATACATTATATTTAGAGATGAGAAAATTATACCTCATAGCATCTGCGGATATGAAGTTTCTTGAGGTTGCGACAGCCTTTAGCAATACTGCACATAGCGCTGTCTCCAATGCCTGAGCAGTCTACTAAGTGAAGCATTTCTAGGGATTTACAGCCTTTTCCAATTTCTTGAAGAGCGGAATTACCAATCCTTTGGCAATACAATAAAGCTAACTCTTTGAGGCGCCTGCATATACCCGAAAATAACGGTTTAATCAATGATCCATCCCATAGTGATTTCAGTGCTGTCAACAAGAAATAAAGAAAGTAAGGAAGAAAATATACGGGCAAAAATTTCCAATTGCCTCTATTCCACGTGTACCAATGTTGTGGCATCCATTAATTTCAACACGCTCAAGTTCCTTACAACCATGAGCAATAGCTTCTAAACCTTTGCAACTCACAAAGTAGCAATCACTTAGAGTGAGATCTTTCAACTTCTTAGACCCTTTACCGATGTCCCGCATGCCCCTGAAATACAAAATAAAAATCAAGTAAAAATATCATCCTACACAAGGCCATCACAAAGATAAACAAAGGTCTATAAGGCAAGTGTTCTTCCATGTCCTTCAAATGATCAAACCAACATTGGGCAATAAGTTCACAAGACAACATTTAATACGAGCACGCAAGACGAGACCAAAGCCTGAGGTTTCCTGATCCCCTGACTTCTCTAACAGTTGAAAATTAAGTACTAGAAAGATTGGATTGTGCTCATCAAAAAGCCAAAGGCACTTAAAAGGAACAGGATAACTAACTTGTCAGTAAAATTCTGAAAGCTATACAAAGCCAATCGCTCCAACGAAGTACACAAGTCTCCCACTGCAGCAAATGCTTTATCTGTCACACCAACACATTGAAGCTTCAGATTTTTCAAATGGTTGCATCCCTGAGCCACCGCTATCAATCCTTTATCATGGATGTATTCAGAATCCAAATACAGAACTTCTAGTAATTTACAGTGAGAACCAACTGCTTCCAGAGATAAATCTGTAATTTTTGCTGACGCAGCAACACCAATAGACTTTAAGGACTTCGCACAACCAACAACAAGGTCAATAACTCCAACATCAGTTAAGCCTTCACAAAAGCGCAGATTTAGTTCTTCGAGTTGCTTACAAAACTTTCCAACAGCTGCTAAGCCTTGATCTCCAACATAGCAACCCTAAAGACCATATCATAAGCATATGAGATCATATTTTTTATCAAGAGGATATTGGAAAAGAATATTAACAGGTCTAACTAAGCAAGAACAGTTGTTCCGGGCTGATAAGAGAGATATACTTTTGTCAAATGATCAAAAGTATCTGAAGCATAATTTCTAGGGGAGCATGATTAAAGCTATCCATATATCAGAAAATTGGAAGTACTTCTCATAAAAGGAAACAATGGGGCATCCATGCGACCTGAACTAACAAGGAATTACTTCCACTTACTTCCACGATATACTAACGAAGTAGCTGAAAACCACATGTGCTTCAAAATAAATCTTTTATACAATTTCAATCAAAAAGATCAAGTGTAGTAACATGAGGATTAAATTACCTGTAAATCCAAAGATTTAAGTGAAATGCACTTCTCAGCAAGGGAACACAAACCCACACTTGAAACATTAGGGCACCATATCAAGCTCAAGTTTTCTACTTTTGGAAATCCATCCGCAAGAGCAGTCAAACCCGCATCAGTCAAGCTACAAGACTCAACATTCTCAGCTCCAGAATGTTTATTACCAATCAATTTCTTCCGCTTACTCGACGATGGCGACGAACTGTCCCTCCCACGTTTTCTTTTCTGCAAAATAATTGATAAGTGCAAAGCAAAAACTTCATAAGCTTCTTAAGTTTAAGCATAAATTCAGAAGGATAAAGCTACCTACACTATGCTCTAGATCAATTTCATATGTTCTCCAATCAGAAATGAGTCCAATAACCAAATACCATCCAGATCCATACAAAATTAACATTCAAATTCCTATACAAAAATTTCTCGATCCGATCCCAAAATCAGATGAAGAAACATACGGGGGAAGGAGAGAGGGAAGGAAGGGAGACGGAGAGACGCTCGTCGACGTGGATGGATGTAATATGGAGGAAGCGGCGAGAGAGAAGGGAGATGAAGTCGTCGGGAGAAAATGAAGCGCCGATACGAAGCGTGGTTCGGCTATATCGCTCTAGAGATAGCCATCGTTTGCAGACGAGAGAGCAAGCGTCGCGGTTGGGTTTCGATTCAAGTCGCCGGAATATCTCGAGGAGTAGTTCCTCCGGCAAGCAATTGTTAATCCGATCGTGACCTCGCATGATTCAGAGAGAGATTGCTGTTGATATCAAATCTTTGCTTGTACGCTCTGAAATGGCTGATCGATCGGTCATCGGTTGGTAAGATGAGGTCGGTTAAAGTTCTTTTTTTTTTTTTGTGGAGAGCACAGTAAAACCATTACCACCATTGATCGATAAAGGCAAGTAATAACTTCGAACGTTTGGTATCATCAATCAAAATGGAAACGACAAGCAAGGTATAAAACTTCCGCCAAAATTAACAAATTTATTAAGTTGAAAATCGACTTTTTCTTGATTTTGTTTACCAATCGTTTAACCACATAGCATCATCATATACTAGATAGTAGATACTCAAAACAGAAGTTAGATATACACACACATAAAGGCATTTGGATTCTGCTTTTAGTTATAAATCGGATCACATCACCGAAGCATCGTTTTATGCCTTTCAGTTGTCACCTTGCCTCAGTATACGCAATATGGTCAAGAAGAGATTGAGGATGTCCAAGTAGAGAGCCACTGATGCTAGGATGTATTCATCATATGTGAAACGCTTGATGAGATTGTCGGTATCATAGACTATGTATCCGCAGAATACCAATGCGCTGATTCCTCCATATATGGCAATAGAAGTCGGGCCAAGAGGGAAGAACATCTGCAATATTATGACAACAAACCAAGTTTATGGCTTTCTTTTATGTATGTGTGGAATTATTGGGTGTTTGGTTATATCGAGAGGAGGGAGGATTATGAGAGACAAACCTGGATGAAGCTGGTCACTACAAGAATGATGAGGCTGGTGAAGAGAATGGGTCCAAGGAAGCTGAAGTCTTTCCCTTTCTTTGCAGCCCAGAAAGTGTATGCGGTTAGAGATCCAACCACAGACAGAGTCAATATCAAGGCTTGAAGCACAATTCTTCCTGATAAAACACGTAGAAAAAAGAACAAGAGATTGTTATTATAATATAACTTTTCAGACTTTGCTATTCCAAGTGTCAGGCATAATGTGTTCTTTGTGACAGTAAAGCGAGTTAAGAAGCTGCTAGAACAGCAACCAAATCACATATTATTGGTTAGAATCAGATGATATTAAAGGGAACGATAGACAAACCTTCTGTCATAGCACAACTGACACCAACAGTGAAGCTCAACGAAACAGTGAAGAGAGCAAGGAGAATCAGGTTAACAGGATGCTTCTGGTGGTAAATGTGCAGAGGCCAGATTACTGCAAAAATTATCTCCCAGTAATCAATCACATGAACAATAAATTTTCTCAACATATACACCATAAAATAAATAGCTGATGGACAACTGTGCATATACAGATCATCTCCAGAAACTGACACAGAATCTTCCAGGAAATAGCAACACAAATTCAAGGTACTAACATATTACTAACTAGGTACATGATGCCACCAAGAAAACCCTCCAAGAAGAAACTAAAAATCGTTCCGACTACTGAAGCAAGTAAACCAACACCAAATGAGAGGCAAGAAAAGCATAACTCATAGAGAACAAACTATCTGAAACTTCTTCAAAAGGAGACAGTTACAGCTGTAAAATATCGCCATGTCACCCTTGCCAACATTCAGTTAACAATATAGTTAGAAGGAAGAAGGAGGGTCAATAGGAGATCTAACAAATTTGTGGGGTTGTCGAGCATTTTGGTTGGTTTAGGCTCAGGAGGGTGAGAGAGTTTTTTTTTTGTTCTATGTTTCAGTGAAAACCAAAGCAAAATCGGTTCTAAATCCTAACATTAATACACTAGCTATCATCACAACTATAAACATAAAGCTCCCATTCAGCATATTCAATCAATTCTCGATCTATATCAACTAAACCATCAGTTATATTAACATAGCAAAAGACATAAAATCTAGAAAAGACTAAAGAGAAACTCAATCCGTGAAGAGAAACTGAAAGAAATGCATAAACATAAGGGTCCATTAATGGACAACCAGAATCAGGTTGATCAAATAGATAATAAGCAATCAAGACTTCAGAATTAGCTACAACTACAAAAGAAGTCGAATCATCTCGACAACATCATATATCCTTAAAATTTACGCAGCAAAAAGTAACATTTGATCATAGGCTTAACACCAGAGTCTATTCAAGAAAATCATATCTACTATCTCAACAACACAAACAAACTACTCGAATTCGCCTAATTAGAAGAAAAAGGACCAAAATCAGAAAACTCAGATCAAACCATAAGAATTCTAATTACCACATCAAATCAACGAAAAACTATGAAGCTAAAATGGTAAATCTTATGCAAAGAATGAGATCTACTTACAGATGAAAGGGACGATGCAAAGGAAGAGAAGAATCCCAGGAGATCCGGTTAAGACATCGTTAACAGGAGGATTAAGAACAACGACGGCGGAGATAAGCGTCGTGAGAAGAAGCTGAGCCGAGAGAATTCCATAGACTTTACGAATAAATCCCCATCGGAGCTGATTCTCGCCGTAACTTAGCCCAGGGTAAAGCGTCGCTTCTCCGACTCCCATCTCAAGATCAATATCCTTCCCGGCGGAACGATCTATGCCGCTCATGCTCACGCTCGCGTATCCGTACGGTTTCTCCATGGCTATAGCTACGAGTCTTCGAAAGCAGATCTGGTTGTTGATTCTGGGAAAAGAATACGAATTATAGATATATTTTTCTGTTGACGAAGGAGACGAGTCATTTCCTTTAATCTAACAAGATGATGTACACGTGTCAAAAAGAACGGTCAAGATTGTTTATGTTAACGCGTTTTATTATTCTAAAACGGTGTTAGTGTTAGCTTTTAAATGAAAGACCAAACAGAATGGAGAGAAAAGTCGGTATTTTGAGGAAACATCTTCTGAATTTAATTAATGATAGGATAATAGTCCACTATTAATATTTTTATATATGTTCATGGGTCGACATTTTTATTTATAATTTAAGGAATCAATCCCTCTAAATTTGATGAATTGAGTTAATCCAAGCAATTTATCACATGATTTATTTAACACTCAAATAAGTTAGGTTGGATGTATGCTCAATCGATTGTTTTTTTAAAGTCAAATAACTGAAAACATGTGACGAATTTCAATTGGAAACCAATGAGAAATATGAAAGTAAAATTTGAAAACATATGTTAAAATTTTATTGAAAACCAAATAATAAGACAACTGTTATTAGAAAATATATGGAAAGTAAATAGTCTTCATTTTATTATCTAGTTAGTTATTTTAAAACATATTTAATAGGTAGATCTTTATAAATTAACGAATTTAGTAATTAACATATATATATATATATATATGGATTTATCTAAGTTTTATGAAAGTATAAATATGGAAATCCTTAAATTAAATTAATATCAAATACAATTCAAATATTAAATAGAAGAATAATTTTTATTTTGACACATGTCAAAATCTAATCAATGGATGCCACATATCGTGATCATGTTAAAAACTATAAAAAACCGAGCTATATATATATATATATATATATATATATATATATATATATATATATAAACTTTTGTATAGTCTCAAAATGCTAGTCTATGTTATGAAGTTTAGAATAACTGATAAAGTATGTGTAAAAATAAAATAAAAATTACAAAGTTATGTATGGTGATTAGATTAAAAGTTTTATATCAAACTCTAGATACTTGTTTACTTACAAATTACAATCATACGATTTTATGTAATATTCTTACAACAAATTACAATTATACGTTTACGTTAATTAGGGTAATGATAATTATACAAAATATAAATCCATATTTTGAGGAAAATAAATACAAAGAGTATATTTGAGAATTATCACAACTTATCCTAACAACAAAAAGTTAAAAAAAAAAAAAAAAAAAAAAAAAAAAAAAAATCTTGCCTAGCTACCTGTATATATAGAGGCTTTTCAAAAACGATAACAAATTCCTTTTTTGTGTTTTAAGGTAACAAATTAAACAACAATTTAAGAATCAAAGATAGTGTACGCTAATATGTTTTGATAACTTTTTTGTTTTGTTTTGATAAAGGTGTATGTTTGATTACCAACATGAGAATCACCAAGACTCGAGCACACTTTGTTACCAATTATGCCGTGAAACTCGCCGTCCTGCTAATCATCACTTTACTTCTCTTCAAGTGTACCACCGTTGTTGCCGGTGCTGGAGCTCACGGTGGAGGAGGAGGTCATGCTAGTGGAGGAGGTGGTCATGCTAGTGCAGGAGGTGCTCATGCTGTTGAAGGAGGAGGCCATGCTGTTGAAGGAGGAGGCCATGCTGCTGGAGGCGCTGGTGGCCGTGGAGAAGAAGAAGGTGGGCATATGATCGGAAGAGGCGGCGGTATGGTTCATCGACCAGCGACAAGGAATGGAGAGTCTACACTAATTACTCCTTTTGCCGATGGATCTGCAATTGTTTTCATGATCATCTTTTTTCTATTTAACTAGGGCTCAATCATCTTCGATAATTAAAAACTTCAGGATTTGTTTTTGGTGAGGTTTTTTTTTGGGGTCAAAGATTTTGGTAGGTTTAAGTTGTTTGATTTTTAGTTTCAAGAAAGATATGTTTGAGTCTTTGTGTTGCTTAGACACATGAGGGACAATTTGGTAAAGAAAAGAGGTTTCCTTTGTTTGAGATTCAAGATTGCACATTCTGGTTTTTAACCTTACAGTCTCTACCCACAAATAAATCCAAACACAAAACATACATATAACGCTGATCGGCAATGAGAGTATTAAACAAATATCACTTTCGTGAAGCGTTTTTGAGGATCCCTGATGTGAGGGAAGAGGAAGGAGAGAAAGCTTTGCGGATATTGAAGACATTCCACGCAGTGCCGGCTGCGTGGCCAACCGTGCCTAGCACATCTTTCGTAGCTTCCCCCGCGCTATCACCCAACCTGTCCATGTTATAAACCTCACTTATGTGAGACATTTACTCCAAGTATTAATACATGCACACAAACACAAACAAACAATCGAGACTATATGAACTCACAACTAAAACGCTAAACAAAATTGAAGACTTTATAAGTGAAACTTACCTCTCACTAACCATTCTTGTAGTAGCTTTGGACGTAGCAGAAAGAGATTGTCTTTCTGCAGCTTCAGCAGCGTCTAGTAATTTATCTAATTTCAAAAATCAAATCAAACTATCTTTAGTACATCGATCATTATAAAAGATAATCTAGTCTAGTGTCGATGTGGAGCTAATAACTATTAATTTAACTTACTAAGAGCATCAAGTGAAGCCAATAGAACCTCCCCTGGAACCATTGAGAAAAAAGCTTTCCCTGGCTTGGACTTTACAACTGGACCCATCATCGAGCCACTCACAACTCCCACACCATTCAACATTGTCTTGCTCAATTTCTCGGTTGCTCTCGACAATTTCCTTACTCTATACATGTGTTACCTCCACAAAGATTATGGTTCATAAGAGAAAAAATGTACAAAGAAACTAGAAATGCTGAGTTCATATATATCGAAGCCAAATCGAACCAAAAATTTTATTCTACACCAAAATTGAAACCAAATCCAAACGGAACAGAAAAATAATAATCTAAAATTCGAAATTAAAATAAGTAAGTATATGACTAAAATATGAACCCAAAGTGATCAATTTCATATCTCTTTCAGTTTGGTAACTATTTTAACACCCCTAATTATATTAAAAGATGTTAATTATTATACCGTTGAAGGTTCTTGTTGATTTGATTCTTGTTTGTGATTGCATTTCTTTTTGACGAGGCACCACTCTTCTTCTCAGCCTTTGTAATCATAATCTCACCTCCTTTGTGAACCTGTTTAACAAAACCTAATATTCAGATCAATTTGAAATTAACATTTAATTTGTGGGGGAATTTTAATGAGAGTGATGATTATAAACCTGATTAGTATAAGCATTACTGCATTTAAACATCCCTCTAATAATATGCCCGGTACCTCCTGCAATAGCTTTAGCCACAACATTGTTATAATCTTCAATTCTAGGCGCAAACTCTTTCCAATCAATTCCATTGTTCACACTCAAAGAAGACGACGAAGACGAAGAAGAGAAGCAAGAGTTCTCTCTCAAGAAATCATCTAACAACTCAATACTATTCACAAAAACGACGTCGTTTTCATCGATGGGGAAGAACGTAACACCGTAGCTAAGTGGCTCTCCGTCTTTAACCGGCAACGTGAAAAGGTAGTCACGAGAGTCAAGTTTCACTACTGGCTCGTCTTTAATCACCGGCCATTGTAAGTCACGTCCGATCCTCACGACCATAGCTAGGGCCACGTTGTTGTCTAAGACTTGTACAAGCTCAAAGTCTCCGGCGGCGAGCTCTACAGCTTCGGATCCGTTGATGAGATGAGCTCTGCATCCATGAATCTGTAATAACACTTCGTCACTCACGGTTTGGTAAGATGAGTACATGGCGTCTTGTTGTTGTCCGTACGAAGATGGTTGTTGTGTTTCGGTTCTTGAAGTCTTTGATCTGAAAAAACTCATTTTTACTCTTTGAGGTTTCTTGATACAATCTCAAGATTGAATTATTTTCTTCCTGATTTTAAGAGAATCTTATCGAAGTAAATAAAAAACAAAAAAGAGTTATTGATTAATACAGTGTTTTACTTTCGGTGCTAATCGAGGCACACTACTTTTTTCTAGGACCCCCAACATGACCACATTTGTCTTCTCTTATGACAATATCAAAAAATTATATAAAATAATAATCTTGTTGCCGACATGGCTACATAATCAAGCAAGCCGATTAAAAGATAGTATTTATTAGTGGAACTATACCTTTTCCAAACATCTTTAAAGCCAACTACAAAACTTCATGAATGAAACTAAACTGATTTCAAGTTAAAACCGATGAAACATGATTACATCAACTTAAAACTAAACAAGTTTTATGTCGTAACAATGTACAGTTTCAGCTAATCTCTAACATGCACATTCTCACTTAGAACATCAACCAGAAGCAATAATGAAGACCTTCGTGAGTATTATCATCTTCTTTGTAGCCTTTCTCTCAATTTTTGCAATCTCTCTAGTCAAAAAGAGCCATGTGGAAGCTTGCATAAGAAGAAAGATCGCCCAATCGCTCTCTCCTTCCCCTTCAAACAAACCAATAAGTTCTCATTTCGAGGCTATGGAAGACAATTTCTGTCGGGACGAAGGACGAATCGTTATGTAAACTTCTTGAAAGTGAACGGAAAGTTCCCACATTACTACGTCAAGGCATTGTGCAATGTATTTGGACGACGATAAAAAGGTTAAGCAATACATTCTTGAGAAATGGTTAAAACATTCAAAGAAGCTCATCGATAGCATATCTAGTGTTTCTCTATAAAAGATCTCTTATTTTAGCATAATTTCGTTGGGTTACAAGAGTCATCACGCTATATCGCAAGCTTTTACATGTGAATTTCGTCATCTCCGCGGACGGCAATTTTTGAAAGACTATAAAATCATGAACATTAAGAAAGTTATAATTAAAAACTTCAATTCGGATTATTTTATTTTAAATATATAATTATACAGTCCGAACAAATGAAACTGTTGAAGGTTGATTACATAAAACACACTAATCGAATTTTTAACCTATTTAGCTTTAACAACAGCTTTAATTGAACCGGAGTCGCCAGTAACTGAATCATACCGGAGAAATAAATCAGCAATGAGCAAGCTAGCCGTGAGAGTAACCATGTCCTTAGCTGCACACTGTTTGTTCGAAGCGCTCGGTGTACCGGTTTGTGGACCGTTAGACCAGTAGAGATAATTCAGCAATTCAGACCCAGTCTCACCTACAAACCGGTCCGGTTTAAATTCCTCCGGTTCGTCAAAAACATTAGCGTCTCTCATCACAAGCGGCTGGTAACCACAAAGAAGCTCACCTTTCTTAACCTCAAAAACAGCATCGTGTGAACTTATCTGAAAATCATCCCTCGCACGTGCGAATTGCAACGGGACCGGAGGGTTAAAACGCAGCGTTTCGTAAACCACTGATTTAACCAGCTCCATTTCGTTGACCGTCTTGAAATTAAGATCCGACCCGGATCCGCAAACTTTCCTGACTTCGGATCTAATCCTCTCCTGGAGACCGGAATTATCGCCGGAGATTTTTCCGATCAAATAAGGTAAAAAGACGGAAAAGCCCCCGTAAGCGTTAAAACCCAACACGAATAAAAGATTCTGAATCGTCTCATCTCGGGTCAACCCGAATTCTTCTTGACCTAACCGGAGACAATCTACGGCGTTCTCGTCGATGAAATTGCAAAGCTTTTTGTAATTTCCGGCGACTAAGAGAGAAGGGTAAGGCCAAGTATGGAGAAAAATCTCTTCAAGCGGTTGAGGAACAATGCCGACTTTAGTGGTGGGGATAACTTGCAATGCAAGCCAAGTATTGAATGTTTTCCAACCGTTCTCAGCGATGTCCGGCGATACGGAAACGTCAGCGCCGGCGAGAGAGGCGCAGAGGAAACTGAAGATGCAACGTTGGAGAGGGAAGATATATGAAGCGGCGCCGTTTTTGGTAACTTCGGATTCGATTGTTCCCCAGAAAGTGTTTAGGTTTGAACGAAGCTCTTGTAGCCATACTTTTGAGCTTCGTTTTAGTATTTCCATAGCGAAACTTTTTATCTGAGTTTAAAACATGTTAAAAAAAAAAAAAAAAATGTAAAAAAGTTAAATTATTCAATTGTAAAGAAAAAAAAAAAAAAAAAAAACTGTTCATCGATTGCAATGGCGAACACTTTTAAGGAATACAGTCGAAAACGCCAAACTTTTATAACGTTTCTTCTGTATTTTAATAGGTAAAAAATACGTGTTTTATACAAGAAAAATATGTTTTTTGTTATGTTTTATATGATTTACAGAATAATACTTTTGTTTCTACTAAGCTTGTAACATGGTACAACTACAACCACAAACCTTTTTTTTAACAAATCTGTAATAAAGGCTCACATGATTGGTAAAAGAGTGCCAACAATTTTTAAAAACTTATTATTCCCCACCTTATTATTTTTTTTCATTTTTTCAGCAGGTCTTTCTCATATTTTTCACCAATATACTAATTTCAGAAAGAAAAAAAAATTGCCTCAAAAATGAATCCTCTAAATCTGAAATTAAAAAAACCATTAGTCCGCTTGAACTTTCCAAACCATTTAGATTAACTGATAGTAAAAATCACTAGACATCAAATCCAGTCACTAAAAAAGTACACTTAAAAAGTATTTAAAATTTATAGATAACAATGATTAGAAGTATATTTTTGTGGTTCATTCATGATAACTAGTTAGGTTTGGTTCGATTAATTTTGAAAGTTAAAAAATATTTCTTAAAAATTTAAATTACGTCTCTTACTATGATTTAATCATGTAAACGGTGGTACAATCTATATATTATTTTTTTGACTAAAGAGTTTTTGACCTTTGATTAAAATTTATTAGAATTAGATGAGAATAGGTAAATTAATCATCTCCGTTGTGGATACTACTCAAACCCAAGATTTGGTTATGCTCATCTATAAGCTCCCTGTAGAGCATATAATTTGATATCGTTACTTTGTTGTTACCTTATTACGTATTAATTATATACACTCGTACATACGAACCTTGGCGTGCTTTGGCTCGGTAGTGTCTAGATAAACTCCAACACGAACACCGCCGTAGAACTCGAGGCTAGGCCGGAAGTCTCCGATGAGAACATCTCTTTTATCAACTAGATCCATGTCAAAGAGATGGCTAAAAGACTTGACGTCGAGAACGGCGACGATGTTAGGGTTAACGTCGCCAAAGAAAGGAAACGTCGGAGGAATGTTTGTACGGAACACAGTGCTCTTGTACTTTTCAGCCCTTGTCCGGAAAAACTTATCGGGTCCTTGGAACCAGAAGTAATCTAAACGGTCCGACAAAGGTCCAACAACCGGCCAACCGTACGATCCCGGCATTGTACGAAGGGGAAGCTGCGACGGGGGTGACGGCGGTTGCTGTGATGTTAGGGGTGTTGACGGTGGTGACCGCGGGGAAGCAGCCGCCATCGTTCTCAGTAACATCTTTTGAGCTTAATTTTTTTTCTTGGAAATTATCTCTTCGTCCTCTATTTCCATGCGGTTGTAGATGTATCTTGGTAAAGATATAAATAAATGAAGAAAGAGAACATTAATTAATGACATGCATATTTTGTAGACTTTTCGTAAACAGTTTTTTTTTTTTTTTTTTTTTTATCTTTTTTCTGTACTATTGTTTATTGTATAGTGATATATCACGGATTTTACCGATTTTAGCCGTGATATATGTGTCAGTTTTAGAGTCTTTTTGTTGTTTCTTGTGTCTTTTTAAGTTTTTTCAGTTTTTTACATGTTCGGGACAAATTTGGAGAAAAATAACCATTCTGGAGCTAAACCAGAGATTTAGAGCTGAGGGAACGATTTCGGTATCAGACCCAGCGAAAAATCTCGACGGTTTGGAGTTTTAAAGCCCGAAAACTTTCCTATTTGCAACTTTAGTCTCTACACGTTTTTGGAGATATTATAAGTAGTTTTTAGGGCTTTTAATTCTATTTCAGGATCTTGTTTTCTGCTTTTGGCTTTGTAATTCTCTGAGGTTGAACCCGTTGGAAAATAATTGGAGAGAGCAACTTTTCAGAGATTTCAAAATCCGTAGAGAGAAGATTTATTCTAAACTCTATTCTCTTTTTTATTTCTTATTTGTAATTTATTCAAACATGTTTTATGTTTCATTAATCATGTTTGAAGTAGTAAATCTATTATCTCTTAGGATTAATCTTTAGAGTTCTTCACCTTAGGTTGTTCTTAAAGCTAGTTCTAGAGTAGCTAACTAGAACTTGATCATAGAATGATATGTTTTGATGAGGGCAACTGTTACTAGAACTACTTTAGGTGGGCAGAAATTTCTAGATTCATACGAGAGGTGGTTTAGGAATATATGTGAACATATCAAACCTGTTTTTAATGTTAGTCTAGATCTAGGAATTCGCATTCGAGAGGGTAGAATTATCTGATATTAGATTAGATAGCTAGCGTATTCGAGAAGTTGGTTAGCTATACATTAGTGTTTTGAATTCTAGAACGGTTCGTTAAATAATCCTAATTAATTTGCTAGATTTATTATTAGTTTATTTCCTAAAATTTCCCTAAACCTGACACCTGATAAAATTGTCTGTCTGTTTTATTTTAATTTTTATTATTTTATAGCATAATTTCGAGATTATTAGCTTATTGTGTGAAGAAGAGAATTTTATAGAATTCGGCCCTTAAGTGTTGCATTCGATCTCTTGAGAATAACTCTACAGGTCTAATTTGATAATTATCCTATAGTTCCTCGCTAAATCAAACATGATTATGTATAATTTTCGTAGATAATCAAATACTCTATCTATAACCAAAATTGAAAACCATATGCACGAATAAAATAGCTAACCTTTAACAAAAAAAAAAAAAATTGCTAACAACCAAAAATAAACTTAACCAATATGTATTATTATATATGTGTGAAGTTCATCGCTAAATAGCATCAAATTCACATGTGCATGGCATGAGTTCTTACCTATTAACTAGATTTTAACCCGCGGTACATCACGGGATAATTTATTTTAAAAGTTAATGTAAAAATATTTTGTAAATTGTATCTCCTTATAATATATTTATTTATATTATTAAGTAACGGTATATCACGAGTCCACGATACAATTGTTAATAAACTGAAGATTTAACCAGTATTAAAGCGGCATGTTAATGATATAAATTCAAATTCGTCCGCCATATAAATCCGTTCCGAAATATAACCCGTTCCGTAATTTCTTAAACCGTCCCGTGATTTATTTTTATTTTAAATTTTTATGGTTATTTATTATATATAAAAGTTTACAAATCATATCAATCTCTAAGATATTTTTATTTAATAAACTGAAGATTTAATATGTATTAAAGCAGCATGTTAATGATATTTTAAAATTTTATAAATATTGATTCAAACTCGTCCACCATATAACTTCGTTCCGAAATATAAACCGTCCTGTAACTTGTTAACCCGTCCATTAATTTGTTTTCTAAAAGTAGTAATTTTTTAAATTTAACGATTATTTATTATATATAAAAGTTTTCAAATTTTATCATTTTCTAAGATATTTATATTTTATAGTTTACAATTGTTATTAAGTAACATTATACCACAGACAATTTTTAGTTTTATACAATCTTTTCTAAATGAGACCGATTTAATATGTCTAATATTTGTGGTATTAAAAAAAATTAAGGATTTACTCCGTATTGAAGCAGTAGATTAATGATATTTTAATTTTTTTATTATTGTTTATTCAAAACCCGTCCTGCCAAACCCGTCCAGCCAAAAAACTCATTTATTTTATTAATGTTGATTTTATTTATGATATGATTCTGAATCATAGTATAAATATTTTAATCGATGTAGAACGTTGAACACACATTTTCGTCAATTGGATAATATATGTCCGTTTTAAAAATTCCGAATCACAGTATAAGTAGAAAAAATTGATTTTTTTTTACTTTATGTATTATATGATGATTCAAAATAGTTAAAAACAAATCAAACAAAGATGATAGGAGAATCATAATTCTAAATCTTAATCAAATCTTCTAAATATCTAAATTATTAAATATGAAATATCCGGTGTATGAGTTGGGTTAAATATAACCCGACCCAACAAACTTTTTATGACCAAAATTTATAAACGGGTCGGATATCTAAATAACCCGGAAGCATTATTATAGTATATATAAATGAAATAAAGAATTAAATTAAAGGGTGAATCAAGTAAGACAGAAAGACATGCGTAGTTGCAACTCTTGGTTCTTGAACTGAACAGAAGTTTATTCACCTACTTATAAATAATAAACCAAACGAAAAATAATGAAAAAAATAAAAAATAAATAACTAAGTCTTTTTAATTCTCATTTTACATATATTGTCCAACGAGCCAACCCGATACTCGTCACTATCAAAGATAAAAGTTGGGATCCAAATTTTAATTTTTTTTCTGAAAGGAAGTTGGGACCCCGATGTGGCCCAATGCCATATCATATCCCTTATTTGTCCGGCTGTTGTCAGAGCAACCACATATTTGATGTTGTAACGTTACCATGAAGATCTTTTTTCTTTTGTTTGATAAAATGATCACGAAAGATCGTGTGAACGGGGATAGAAAAAATCGAGAAACACATGTCTATTTTAATGTTTGACAAAGTAACCACCGGTTCCGTCCAAAAGGAAGAAAAGGAAATTAGTGAGAGAGAAGAACACGATCGAGAGAGAAAAGTTTGTTAGAGAATTTCTCATCTTATTCATCAAGTAATCTGTACATAGTATATATATATACACTTGGTTTTAATGTAAACCGGTCTACTGATCTAAATATATGTACATAACCGAGTAAACCGTTGTATACTCTCCAATAGTCCCTCTCAAGATGAGGCATATATATTGATAAGACTGATCTTGGATTTCAAATGCTCAAATTGATGAGGGAAGAGAGGTTTGGTAAGGATGTCAGCAATCTGGTCTTCAGTCCTTACATGTAAAGTTTTCAAAAGACCTTCTTCTAACTTCTCTCGGACGGTATGACAATCAATCTCAATGTGCTTTGTTCGCTCGTGGAATACCGGGTTTATAGCAATGTATATTGCAGGCTGCAATTTGCAGCAGTACTATCCGAGAAAAGAACAGGGACTGAAGAAGTGGAAACCTTCACGTCAGAGAGCAGAATGCTCAACCACATCATCTCACATGTAGCAAGAGCTAGAGCCATGTATTCTGCTTAACAAGAAGATCTATATACAGTAGGTTGCTTCTTAGACCTCCAAGAAATAAGAGAGGAGCCTAAAAACATACTGAATCCAGTAGTGGATCTTCGACTATCCAAGCAGGAACCCCAATCCGCATCAGCAAAGCCTTTTAAACGTAAATCAGGATCAGAGGAGTAAAGCAAACCTTGTCCCACTGAACCTTTTATGTACTATAGGACCTTATACACGGCACTAAGGTGAGCAGTACGTGGAGCTGATGAGTATTGGCAACGTTTATTCACAGCAAATGTAATATCCGGGCGTGTAATTGTCAAATACATCAACCGGCCAACCAAACTGCGATACATCTCTCTATCTACAAGGAGATCTCCATCAGTCTTAGACAGTTTTGTGTTTGGTGTCATAGGAATGGAAGAGGGTTTACAGCCTAACATTCCTGTGGAAGCAAGAAGCTCCAGAGCGTACTTCCGTTGACATAATGAAATACCAGCATCATTCCGAGCTACCTCTAAGCCCAAAAAGTACTTTAAAGGACCAAGTTCTCTCAGTTTAAAACATTTCTTCAAAGCCTCTGTTAACTGAGTAGCAGCATGATGAGTAGTACTAGCAATCACTATGTCGTCGACATAAACCAATACATCAATATAATCATCATCACAACTTTTGACAAAAAGAGTGTGATCTCCATGTGCTTTAACAAAACCCAACTGTTGGTGTCGGATCCCGCACCAGAAGTCCGAGACCAACCAAAGATTGCTACGTAGACAGGATAACGACCCATAAAGGATAAAGCCCACTAGACCCATAAGTCAAAAGATCAGTCGGAGTGGTTGTCAACATGAGGAGAGTCCGAAGTGACTGCACCTCGACACGAGTCCGGAGACGAAGTCATGGTTAAGTCGGTCCTAAGGACATTTGGGCCAAAAGGCGAGGCCCATGAAGATCAGAGTCAACTCAAATTCAAACGTTGGAGCATTAAAACCAAATATCAAAACGGACACATTTAAGAGAGAATAATTATACTTAATTAGCCATTTTAATGTCATTTTCCTATGTATAAATACAAAAGGCCAATGGCCATGTAAAGGGGATCTTCCTCTCTGAATCAAGAAATACGATTGCAATTTTTGTAGCAATTCATAAGCCATTTACGTTCTTATTTTTTGTCCCTCAAGAATAATCTTTCCTACTAATAAAAATACTTGAGTGTGTGAATCCGACATCCACATTTTGGCGCCGTCTGTGGGGACATAGGATTCTTGAGTGGTCAGATTTTTCTTTATTACACTTCCGAGATAAGCAACAATGTCCGGAGGAGATGCCGTTGAGATATCATTGGCCGAAACCCTCAAAGCTATGCAGTAGACCATGTCGGACATATCACAAAAGTTCTCGGATGTGGAAAAAGCCGTCGATACGTTGCAAACATCCCAGGTATCTCTTAGTCAAAACGTCAATACTATACAAACTCGTGTTCGCTCTTTAAGTGCAGGAAACCTTGTGGGAATCCGAAGAGGGATATTCAACTCGCCAAGTTCCGCTGCACGAAATGAAACCAGCGGACAAACAACTCCCGGTGCTACTAATAATGTAGTTCAGACGTTGGAAGAAGAGACACAGCTCGGAGATGAAGAACAACTTGCAGCTCAATACGAGCAGGAGAACCTCGACCAGTTCGAGACCATGAGGAAGGTTAGCCAGGAATTAAAAGAAATGAAATCGAAATTTCATCAAGCTACAAGTTCGGAGCCAGACATCAATCGAGTCATTGAAGAAGCTAGGCGAACACCTTTCATCTCGCGAATTGCAAGTTTGAGGATCAAAGATTCCCGGAAACTCAAGTTGGACCCTTACAGCGGATTAGAGGACCCAAAGAGCTATCTCGCAGCTTTCCTGATAGCTGCTGGACGAGTCGAATTGGATGAAGCTGACGAGGACGCAGGTTACTGCAAGCTTTTCTCGGAAAATCTATGTGGCCAAGCTCTAATGTGGTTCACCCAGTTAGAGCCGGGTTCGATCAGCAATTTCGACGAACTATCAGCCGTATTCTTAAAGCAATATTCCATCCTTATGGATAAAAGCGTTTCGGATGCCGATCTTTGGAACTTATCGCAAGGATCTAATGAGTCACTTCGAATTTTCATCACCAAATTCAAAGGAGTGCTGTCAAAGCTCCCAAGAATCTCGCAGCAATCAGCTTTATCTGCCCTACGAAAAGGATTGCGACATGATTCAAGGTTTAAAGAAGACTTAATACTTCATAAACCAGACACAATTCAGGATGCACTCTTCCGCGCAAACAACTAGATGGAGGTAGAGGACGAAAAAGAAAGTTTTGCCAAAAGAAATAAGCAAGAGAAGTCGGCAGTCACCGTCCCTACAAAAAAGTTCGAACCCAGGGAGAACAAAGGACCAAAGAAATTTGGGTCGCAACCCTTCAACAGTACCGTCGGAAAGCAATTCCAAGGTGAAGGAAGATCAAACACTTGGGTCCGTGATGAAAGTCTATATTGCGACATTCATAAAGTAACCGGACATTTAACCAAGGATTGTAGCGTTCTTAAAAGGCACCTCGCAGAACTTTGGGCCAGTGGAGATCTTTCCAAATTCGATATAAAAGATTTTGTGAAGGAATACCACGAAGCAAAGGAAAGTTCCAAAGATCAAAATTCCAAAAGACCAAGGTTAACCAACGAGGAAGAACCAAGGAATTCTAAGGGTAAGATCAATGTTATTCTAGGAGCTTCCAAATTTTGCGGAGATTCGATAAGTTCCATCAAGAAACATAGACGAAATATCCTACTCAAAGCAAGCTTAAGCGAAGAAGTCGATTTTCAAGGTGCATCAATATCATTTAATGAAGAAGAAACGCGGTACCTCGAAAGACCTCATGATGATGCTCTAGTCATTACCCTTGACGTTGCCAACTTCGAAGTATCAAGGATCCTTATAGATACAGGCAGTTCGGTCGATTTGATCTTTTTAAGTACTTTAGAAAGAATGGGAATTAGTCGGGCGGACATAGTGGGGCCTCCAACTCCATTAGTTGCATTCACAAGTGAGTCAGCCATGTCTCTCGGGACAATCAAGCTACCGGTCCTTGCCAAAAAGGTATCGAAGATCGTGGACTTCGTTGTCTTCGATAAGCCTGCAGCTTACAACATCATCCTCGGTACTCCCTGGATTTATCAAATGAAAGCAGTCCCCTCTACATATCATCAATGTATCAAATTTCCAACATCAAGAGGAGTGGAAACAGTTTGGGGTGATCAAGAAACTTCACGGACGTGTTATCTAGCTAGCCACCGTATGAAGATTCAATAGCAATTAACGAAGCCCGCAAAAGAGGGACTAAGAACAAAATTTCCTAACGGGCAGAAGAAAGATGATGTAGTAATCGAAGTGGTGTTGGAAGAAGACAAGCCGGACCGGAAAATTCGAATTGGGGCAACTTTGACTGGCCAAATAAAAGAAGCTTTGATCGAACTCTTAAGGAAAAACAAAACATCGTTTGCATGGTCAGCAGCGGACATGCCTGGCATAAATCCAAGTATAATTTGTCATGAACTAAACGTGGATCCAAGCTTCAAACCGGTGAAACAAAAAAGAAGAAAGCTTGGAGTGGAGCGAGCAAAAATAGTAAATGACGAAGTGGATAAACTTTTGAAGATAGGGTCCATAAGAGAAGTACAATATCCGGAATGGGTAGCAAATACTGTCGTTGTCAAGAAGAAGAATGGGAAAGATAGGGTTTGCATCGACTTCACAGACCTCAATAAAGCATGTCCCAAAGATAGTTTCCCGCTCCCACATATAGATCGACTTGTAGAGTCCACCGCTGGGAACGAGCTGTTAACATTCATGGATGCCTTCTCGGGTTATAATCAAATAATGATGAACCCCGAAGACCAAGAAAAAACGTCATTTATCACTGATAGAGGTATCTATTGTTACAAGGTAATGCCTTTTGGTTTGAAAAATGCAGGAGCAACTTATCAACGATTGGTTAACAAGATGTTCCATAATCATCTCGGGAAAACAATGGAAGTCTACATAGATGATATGTTGGTTAAATCGTTAAAGAAAGAGGATCACGTTAAGCATTTAGAGGAATGTTTTGATATTCTCAATAAATATCAAATGAAGCTGAACCCGGCGAAGTGCACATTTGGAGTCCCATCCGGAGAATTTCTTGGTTATATCGTGACAGAAAGAGGGATTGAAGCCAATCCAAATCAAATTAATGCCTTTCTAAACATGCCATCTCCAAGAAACTTCAAAGAAGTACAACGGTTGACTGGGCGGATTGCGGCTCTGAATCGTTTTATCTCGAGATCAACAGATAAGTCGCTACCTTTCTACCAAATTCTAAAAGGGAACAAAGGATTCCTTTGGGATGAGAAGTGTGAAGAAGCTTTTGGGCAGCTTAAGGCATACTTAACCACTCCACCTATATTGACCAAACCAGAAGTAGATGAAAAACTTTATTTGTACGTGTCGGTTTCAAACCACGCGGTTAGTGGAGTCTTGGTTCGGGAAGACCGTGGGGAGCAGAAACCAATTTACTACGTAAGCAAGTCAATGACGGATCCGGAAACCAGATACACAATGATGGAAAAACTTGCACTCGCGGTGGTAATTTCGGCTCGGAAACTGCGCCCATATTTTCAATCCCATCCGGTTGAAGTATTAACCAACCAACCACTCCGAACAATACTTCATAGTCCAAGTCAGTCCGGACGTTTGGCGAAATGGGCGGTGGAGTTAAGCGAGTACGATATAGAATTCAAAAGCCGGATCACTATGAAAGCTCAGGTTTTAGCAGATTTCTTAACCGAGCTACCAATACCTGGAATGATAGAGCAACCGGAGAACCAAACTTGGAAATTACACGTAGATGGGTCTTCAACAAAGCAAGGATCCGGAGTGGGAATCAAGTTGGAGTCTCCAACATCAGAAATTCTAGAACAATCATTCCGGTTGTTATTCAATGCCTCCAACAACGAGGCAGAATACGAAGCCCTGATTGCCGGACTTCGATTAGCACAAGGAGTTGGAGCTAAGGAAATATTGGCTTATTGCGATTCGCAATTAGTAGTTAACCAGTTTAATGGAGACTATGAAGCCAAAGACTCAAGAATGGAAGCATACCTCGAAGTGGTGAAGGATCTATCTAAAAATTTCTCGAAATTCGAATTAATCCGCATACCTCGGGGAGAGAATACAACTGCGGATGCACTTGCCGCATTGGCATCAACATCAGATCCTGAGTTGAATAGAGTTATTCCAGTGGAATGCATTTCGGAGCGAAGCATTCAAGACAGCAAAGAAACCCTCGTCGTTACAAGGTCTCGAGCAGCGGCACGCGACCGTGGCGAACCAGAGATCGAACCGCCACCCAACAAACGAAGGAAGTCAAAGGGATCAAATACATCTAACAAGGAACCCGTTGTCTTAGCTGAAGATGTGATTCCAGAAACAATGTTAGAAACCGAGCCGTTAATTGAGGAGGATGTTCTTGAACCAAACGAGCATCCCGAGCCAGAGCCACGAGTATTTCACAAAGTTGACCAAATTCCGGCTAAAGACTGGGGGGCTGACTGGAGGGAGCCAATAAAGCACTATATCATGACAGGTGAGCTCCCAAAGAATAAGTGGCAGGCCAGGAAAATGAAAATTGTTAGCGCGAAATTTTGTCTATCAAAGGATGCGTTATATAGACGAGGTGTTAGTGACCCTTACCTATTATGCATTTTTGGGCCCGAAGTCGAAATCGTCATGAGCGAAGTACATGAAGGATTATGTGGGAGTCATTCATCAGGAAGAGCGATGGCTTTTAAAGTTAAAAGAATGGGATATTATTGGCCCACTATGATCACAGATTGTGTTAAGTTCGCCCAAAGATGCAAACGCTGCCAACTCCATGCACCATTGATCCATCAACCGTCGGAATTATTCTCTTCCATTTCCGCCCCATACCCGTTTATGAGGTGGTCAATGGACATCATTGGACCATTGCACAAATCAACTCGAGGTGTACAATACCTTTTAGTCCTTACGGACTACTTTTCGAAATGGATTGAAGCTGAGGCGTATGTTGGTATCAAGGATTCGGCGGTGAAGACCTTTATTTGGAAAAACATTATATGTCGACATGGAGTTTCGTACGAAATAGTCACTGATAATGGACCACAATTCATTTCACACGAGTTTGATGCCTTTTGTGCGGATTGGGGAATCAAAGTTAGTTATTCTACTCCACGATATCCGCAAGGAAACGGTCAAGCTGAAGCCGCGAACAAGACGATATTGAGCAATCTCAAGAAACGCTTAAATCATCTAAAGGGAGGATGGTATGAAGAACTCCAACCCGTCCTGTGGGCCTATCGTACAACCCCTAGGCGACCTATAGGAGAAACTCCATTCTCCTTGGTTTATGGCATGGAGGCGGTAGTACCAGCTGAACTCAACGTGCCCGGACTTCATCGAACAGAAGCACCGTTAAGTGAGGAAGAAAATTCAGCAATGCTTAATGATTCACTAGATACCATAAATGAAAGGCGTGATCAAGCTTTGATTCGGATTCAAAACTACCAGCAGGCAGCAGCCCGATATTACAACTCTAAAGTCAAAAGTAGGCCGTTCTTCGTAGGAGATTATGTGTTAAGGCGCGTCTTTGACAATAAAAAAGAAGAAGGTGCCGGTAAACTTGGTATTAATTGGGAAGGACCTTACTTTATTACCAAAGTGGTCCGAAACGGTGTTTATAGGTTGAAAGACTTAGAAGACAATCCAGTCAAGCGACCTTGGAATGTGATCAACCTAAAGAAGTTTTATGTTTAAAGCTACATGCATTGTTTATGTACATGAACTACGGTTTGGCTTGATCCCGAAATGGGTACGTAGGCAGCTCGGAAACGAGTTCAGCTATTAATAAAAATTTGTTTTATTTCTTTATTAAAGGAAATAGGTTCGACTGTGCGAACTAGTGAAGCAAATAAAGGTTCGGCTATGCGAACATACAAGAGATTGGAAATAAAGCTTTTATTCAAGCAAATAAGGCAAAATATCCCTCATCGTACACTTTGGATTATGGAGATCTTGTTGACGAACAGAACACTTCGACTCCTTGGCCAGCAAGGTCAAGGATTGACAACATGCAGTCTGGAATTCGAGCGAAGTCAGAGATTCCGAGTTCTATCCATTCTCCGGGGTGAGATTCAAGGATGTGGAGATCTCTTGACACTGTAGTAAGCCTACGTTGCATCCGGTTAATTCTCTTCCGGAGTCTCCTCTTTTCCAGTGTAAGCTTCCGATGCTGAAGCGTGAGTGCCTCTATGAAAGCCATCGCTGTTCCTTGGTCTCTGATTGGGAGATGCCTGATCAAAGCACATGGGGTTCGGATCTGAGATCTTAAAAAGCCGTGAAGTGGAGGAGGCTGCCTGATTGGCTCATTTGGAACATCTTCGTTTATCATTCCGATTCTGGAGAAGTCGGGCATAGATTCTGAACAGCGAAGATTGAACTCCATACCTACTAAAATGAAAAGAATGGTGAGGAGTAAAGGGAGATGAGACCATAATTTATAGGAACGCCATATCCCTAGCAAGCTGCGGATTCTATCCAAGGAATGGAGTGATTCGCGGAGAGATTTATGCCCTCGAACAGATTCCTGCATTAAAAGACGCATCTCCAAGAATATTTGAAAAGTAAGGAAAATTGCAAATGTTTCCATAAATAAAAAGGGGCCGAAGCCCATTACGAGTTCAAAATAAGTGAAGAAGTTAGAGAACATCTATGGAAGAGGCTCAGGAACAGGCTCCTTCATCACCGGTTTAGTCCTCGAAGTGGACGCCTTGTTCTTGGTATCCACTTCGGGATGATCCCGAACGCGTTTCCGACAGGTGCTGGCCTCCTCTTCGTCTTCTTCTTCGCTGTCAGATGGAACGGCACAGACGGGGGTGTTCACGGGACCCGGGACTCCTTTAGCACGGAGATACATCCGAAGCATCTTCGGGATCTCAGCGACAGAGTCAAAGTTCCGCCATTCCCATTGAAAGGGATCACTTTCCAAGGCCCGTATCTTCCTCTCCACCCGAGCAATGCGAGCCTCGAGTGTTTGCCTTTTGAGGCCCAGCCGTTGCCTCTCTTCACACAAGCGACGGTGCTTGTCGGCAACCTAGCATAAAGATGAATGAATAAGATAAAACAAAAAGTTTTTAAATCAAAAACTTTAAGTATTTACCTTGTCAATGAAGTCGCAAGCCTCTTTCTTCTCCTTTGAAGGAAAGTGAAAGACGGCGTGAGGGAAAAGAACGCCGGCCAGTTCAAAGCCATCGCCGGACAAGAAAAGTGGGCTGCCGGGATCAACGGGGGCTACTTTTTCGTTTTCCATTCTCGAAATATTTCTCAAGTAAGATTCTAAAATCGTGTTTAAATAAAGCTTAGAAGTAGGTAAGCCTTTATTTATAATGATTTAGGGTTTGTCTTGGAACCATAAATCCAATAATGGTAGTGTGTCCGAGTGGTTTAAACCATTTTTGGAAAATCGAGAAAATGTAGTTATTGCATTAAAGACGAGCCGTTTTCCTTACTTATAAGAAGGGAAAGAGCAACCGTCGCATTAACTACAAAAGTTTCTAAGGCCCAAGCCCAATAAATTTATCGAGTTGACTAAACCCGAAGTGGGGAACTCGTTTTAAGCCGAGCTCAGTTCTCGCATTCTTAAGGGAAAGGTCTGATCAGCCTAAAAATCCCAAAAGCATAACCACAAGGCCACAAAAGGTTAAAAGCGGACTTTGCAAACCCGCATATAATTTTAACCAAACCCCCTTGGGGTCATAACCTAGAAAGGTTTAAAAGCCTCCTCAGGCAAATATCTTGTTCAAAAGAAATGATAAAGCCTCCTTAGGCCAAAAAAAAAAAAAAAAGTTCGAAATTAAGTTTAAACTAAATGGGACAATCCCCAGTTTAAAGTGGACACAGCCACTACGGATCGACATCCACCTCGGACTCCGGCTCAGCTGTCAAAGTTTCACTCGCCTCCTTAACTGGTGCTTGATCAGATGAAGCTCCTGGACCACCCTCCACGGTACAACCATCCTCCGGAGTGACCTCCGGCGCCGCAGGAACTTCCGGGTGGGACAACGTCTTCCGTCTCACTTGAGCCTAAAAAAAAATAATAATTCCAGTCAATCAAAGGTACAAGGCAAGAAAAGGTCGTGAGTATCAAGAGCCAAAAGTTACCAGACAAGTCTAGACCCGATCACTTATAGGAGGAGATTCTGTGAAGAATCCTCAAAGTCCTGCGGGTTGAAAGTCGAAGCGGGAAGAGCTGCCAAACGACTCCGCTTTTCAGAAAGATTGGTCGACAGTTCGGCCCTCTCTTGCACCTCGGAGAAATCCGCATCATGGATTTGGTCCAACAGAATCAGGTTGCTTTCATGCTCCTTGACGTCTGATTCCAGATCTGACCTAGCCTTCTCGGTTTGAATGAAGTGGATGGCCCCCTGGATCAACTCCATCCCGCGTCCCTTAACATCTTTTCTGGCTTTCGATGCCGACCTTGCCAACTCGGAATCACGCAACTTGGCTAGCGCCCTGTACTTCGCGTCAAGCTCGATAAGTTGGTTGTTCAGGGTATCGGCGGTTGATTCGGATTCATGAAGTCTACCCTGAACACCAGAAAGTTCATCCTGGAGTTTGTAATTCCGGTCGTACTGGTCTTGCAACTCCCCCTTTATCTGCGCAAGCTCGGATGTTAAACTGTCGACCTTGTCCTCCAGATCGTGCTTGGAGCCGGCAGAAGAACTGAGTTCAGCCTCAAGAGCAGAGAATTTCTTCTTCCACATGTCAATCTCCTTCTCCCGTCCAATGACCAACCCTTCGTAATGTTCAATCATGTCGTTAAGTTCGCCGTGAGCCTGACATTATACATAAACCCGGGATGGCGAGTCAGTTCGCAGAATGGCAATGCAATAAAAAAATAAACAACAAAAACGGAACTAACCCGAGATGAGTGATGCGCGTGAAGCAAATAGCGTTCACGAATCGCAGGGCGCCACTTGTCGAAGTCTGGCAAGATCGAACCCGACCGGGTCTTGAAGCATCGGAAGACGCTGCCTTCTTTCTCCATAGCTGCGAAGAAGGAAGAGTTGTAAAAATAAGAATCTTAATAGAGACAAAAATGTTTGAGTATGTGTAAATCACCAAACCTGAAAGCGATTTGACTTGAGGGACAAGAACGGGCTTTAACCTCGAGGAAGCATCTCGAGATTCAGAATCTCCCTTTTTAGGAGATGCACTCCGAGCAGTCTTTTCGCTGTCGGGCCAGGAAGAAGAAGACATGTCAACAGGTCGGGGAGGACCCATTGGTTCAGTGGGAGGGGATGATCGAGGTGAACGGTTAATCCGGGCCCTTGATTTCTCCCTTCGCGGAGACGAGTCGCTACGGGATGACTTGTCCCTCTTCCTACGAACCAAATTCTTGAGTGGTTCATTGCTAAAATCGTCTCGGGGAGGACGAGGAGAATCACGACGAGGAGATCGCTCTCTCCGAGGAGAACGTTCGTCATGACGTTCGCGACGAGGTGTTAGCCTATAAGCAGCAACGGATCTGGCTCCCTCGGAGCTGTTATCATCAACCAGCAGGGTCCTGCTGTAATCTTTTTTGTCAATGGCGGCCGCAAGGAACGCCTTGTTTTCATCACAAGCCTCTGCTATCGGCTTGGAGAGTTTCTTACGCTGGGCAGTAAGGGCCCGAGCTGACATTCCCTGAGTTGAGGGAGAAGGCGGAAGACGATGAAGTAGATTGGGAGGACTCATCCTGAGTTTTCGGTTGGCCTCGACAAACCGATCGAGGGTGAAAGAATTCCAAAGGGTTTCCCCTTCGAGGATTGTTTTGAAGAACTTGACAAATTCTTCAGTCGGGAGAGTTGAAGCGATGAAAGCTGCGAAGTGAAACAACGAATTTGGTCAGTAAAAAAAAAAAAATGAACAGGAAAGGAATATACGACCTAGTCTCTACCAGGCTTCGTAGACCACTTCGATGGGAGTACATCGGAAAGATTCCCAATCGAAGCAGGAGTTTTCTTAATCAGGAACCAAGGATGGTGCCAGTTTTCATCCTTGTTCGGGAGGTGCGAGATGACGTTTCTATTGGCATTTGGGTATGCCGAGAAGTATCCTGTTTTCTTTGACGAACTTCTCACACTTAGAAGTTCGTTCATTTCGGGGACCCCGATGACGTAGCCAGCCTCCGCCGCAACGGTTATAATCCCGAGGATGGTTCGGAGGAGATTGAGGGTTAATTGAGGTAAAGCAATCTCGAGAGCCGCCAAGAATCGAACTAGGGCTTCGGGAAGGGGGAAGGTCAATCCGCAGCCCTTGAAGTAAATCTCGTAAACACAAAAATAGCCGTCACGGTGGTTCTCCGGGGATTCCGTAGGATCGGCTATTTGCGCCTCCGCTATGATTCCGGGAGGAATTTGACAAAGCCCCTTTAATCACTCAAGGGATTGAAGAGTACAGGTGGATTTGTAATGAGGACCGGCGATATCGTTAGGACGAGTGCATTCGTCATTACTAGAACGCCTCTCATCGTAAGACGGAGATTCAGGTCTCTCAGAATCGGAAGTCATTGGAGGAAAATGAAAAATTCAAGGTTCGGCGAAGAGAGTTTCGGCGAAGAAAAGTGGAGAGAAGTTTTGATTAAAGCACAAAAGTAAAAGAAGTAATGATGAAAGAAGTTACCTCACGGAAGTTAAGTGATAATGGTGAAACCGCCTTGGGAATCGTGGGGGAAGTGGAAAGGTTCCCGCTTTAATAGTAAATAATTAAGATACGGTCATAATGATGACAGATGTCACTCGAGTAGAAATGGCTAGTACCGAAATTAAAGGAGTGATGAGATTTTCGGCGGGAAATCAGAAAGATTCTCGAGCGCAATCTTTGGTCATTCAAGCATTTAAAGTCCTCCGAATTGGAATGGCACTTCGAAGAACTTGGGGGGGCTAATTGTTGGTGTCGGATCCCGCACCAGAAGTCCGAGACCAACCAAAGATTGCTACGTAGACAGGATAACGACCCATAAAGGATAAAGCCCACTAGACCCATAAGTCAAAGGATCAGTCGGAGTGGTTGTCAACGTGAGGAGAGTCCGAAGTGACTGCACCTCGACACGAGTCCGGAGACGAAGTCATGGTTAAGTCGGTCCTAAGGACATTTGGGCCAAAAGGCGAGGCCCATGAAGATCAGAGTCAACTCAAATTCAAACGTTGGAGCATTAAAACCAAATATCAAAACGGACACATTTAAGAGAGAATAATTATACTTAATTAGCCATTTTAATGTCATTTTCCTATGTATAAATACAAAAGGCCAATAGCCATGTAAAGGGGATCTTCCTCTCTGAAGCAAGAAATACGATAGCAATTTTTGTAGCAATTCATAAGCCATTTACGTTCTTATTTTTTGTCCCTCAAGAATAATCTTTCCTACTAATAAAAATACTTGAGTGTGTGAATCCGACATCCACAAAAAAGGCATAGTTTCTTTTCACTCATGTCCTGAGACACCGGAACAGAACTCGGTTGTGGAGAGGAAACATCAACATATCCTCAACGTTGCTCGGGCATTAATGTTTCAATCTCAGGTACCTTTATCTTCATGGGGAGACTGTGTACAAACTGCAGTTTTTCTCATAAACAGGATTCCTTCACCAGTTCTCTCCGATAAGACACCATTTGAGATACTCACTGGTAAAGCTCCTGCTTATGATCAGATTCGCACATTCGGCTGTTTATGTTATGCTTCAACCTCACCGAAGCAACGTCATAAATTTCAACCTCGTTCTCGTGCTTGTATCTTCTTGGGCTATCCCTCAGGCTACAAAGGATACAAACTCATGGATATTCAGAGTAATGTGGTTTTCATTTCAAGAAATGTGGTATTTCATGAGAACATCTTTCCTTTGGCTAAAACTCCACACTCAGAGGCTGCTTTGGAGCTATTCACACCACTGGATTCTTTGTCATCAGGTACCATCACTTCTTCTCTTCCACCACAAATTTCTGCACCACAAATTTCTCCATCCCAAACACAAATTTCCACTAAAAGGTTAAGAAAACAACCTGCACATTTACAAAATTATCACTGCTATTCCCTGTAGTCTGATATCTCTCATCCCATTTCATCATCTTTATCTTAGTCAAAGATTTCCCCTGACCATCTTTTTTACATAAATAACATCACTAAAATTCCAATCCCTCAATCTTTCACTGAGGCAAAGAATTCCAAAGAATGGTGTGATGCTATTGACAAGGAAATTGGTGCTATGGAATCTACAAACACATGGGAAGTTACTACCTTACCACCAGGGAAGAAAGCTGTGGGTTGTAAGTGGGTTTTCACTTTGAAGTTTCTGGCTGATGGATCTCTTGAAAGGTATAAGGCTCGATTGGTAGCGAAAGGGTATACTCAAAAGGAGGGTTAGATTATAATGAAACTTTCTCTCCAGTTTCCAAGTTAGCTACAGTCAAGCTTTTATTGAAAGTCTCTGCTTCTAAGAAATGGTTTTTGACTTAATTGGATATTTCCAATGCTTTTCTTAATGGTGATTTAGAAGAGGAGATCTACATGTCATTACCAGAAGGTTATGCTGCAAGTAAGGGGGACTCTTTGCCACCAAGAGCAGTTTGCAGATTGAAAAAATCGATTTATGGACTTAAACGAGCCTCACGCCAATGGTTCAAGAAATTTTCAGAATCACTGTTGCAGTTGGTGTGGATGTCGGATTCACACACTCAAGTATTTTTATTAGTAGGAAAGATTATTCTTGAGGGACAAAAAATAAGAACGTAAATGGCTTATGAATTGCTACAAAAATTGCTATCGTATTTCTTGCTTCAAAGAGGAAGATCCCCTTTACATGGCCATTGGCCTTTTGTATTTATACATAGGAAAATGACATTAAAATGGCTAATTAAGTATAATTATTCTCTCTTAAATGTGTCCGTTTTGATATTTGGTTTTAATGCTCCAACGTTTGAATTTGAGTTGACTCTGATCTT